ACAAGAGAAAGATGAGGCTGGCTGCTTCTATAAAGATTTGCAGTGTCAAGAAACCTCGGGGCAGTTCTAGTCTTCCCTACAGGGTACCTATGAGTCAGCAGCAAGTAGATGTCAGAGGGTTCCTCGGCAGGGAGCCTGAGAAGAAACACCGTGGTTGCAGCCCTGGGAGTCTGGATTTCAGATACAGGCATTCCCTGGGTTATGATTCACTTGCAACTTGTAGTGATAAACCAACTCGCATGAAGTGCATTATATTAAAAATTCAAGGTACACACAGTGGTTTGTAATAGCAAATGGGTGCGACTTTGTGATGCATATAAAAACATTATTATTAAAAAAACATTGTTATTGTTTTATTGTGCTGGAGATGTTTTAGTGTTTCTTTAGTGTTTTTGTGCACAGAAAAGTGCGCTGTGGACTGTAAAATAAAGCTGACATGTGACTGACTGTTCAGACTTACAAATTTGACTTAAGGACAGCTATGGGACCAGAACCCATTCCTAATCGGGGGACTCCCTGTCTTGCTGACTTCTGCCCTCTGAATCCCAGTGGACTGATCAGTTCCATTCCACATGTGGATAGTCATTCTTGATAAGTGACAGCCACGGGCATTCCCCAGTCTGCTGTCCCCTCACACCTTGTTTTCCTCTCACGGCCATAATTGCTCCTTTCACACTGACACCCACCAGCACTTGGGCCCAGCACGGCCGCACCATCTGCTCATGTAACACCAAGTACATGGTCTCCCCAGTACATCCTGAAATAGGGCTGAGGGAGGCAGTGGAGATGGAAAGGGGGCCAGCTGGAACGGGTGACAAAGCCTAGAGAGAGTGATGAACCATGGCCCAGGACAGAGAAGAGGAAGGGAGGATGCTGACGGCTCGCCCCAAGGCTTATCTGTGCAGTGAGTCTAGCCTCTCTGCTTATGGGAGCAGAATCAACGTGTGGTGCTTTCTTCTTGCAGCAAAGGCATCCATTTCCTTTTGACACACGGTCACAAGAGATGGTTCAGGAGAAAGGAAACCTACATGTCACCATGCAGACTGTGTACCGTTGGCATCTGTGCATCTCTGTACGGCATTCTCAGGGCATGCTCCCGGGAGTGCAGGGACTGCTGGCAATGACATGCAGGGATTGCTGGCTGCTCCCGGAAGGAGCCAGCGCAAAGTGATCATTCGGGGTCAGGTCTGTGTTGTAGGTTGCGGAAGCGCCCACCCACCTCTATTATTCTGATAAGGTCTGCCAGTCTCCGAGGTGCTCTGTTCTTTGCTTTAAGCCCTGCCAAACGGGTAGATTCATTCCATTCTCTCTGAAGGCTGCTTGTAGGATTAAATCAATCAAGCAGGCATCTGGGATTTGTTCCAGAGATTTCAAATTTAGCTGCGTGACCTTGGCTTTGGTTGGTTGTTGATCTTGATGGATTTGATGTAAGACGGTTCTGTGCTTTAAAATGTCTATCCTTTGATTTTCCATTGAGTTTTTACACACACACACACACACACACACACACACATTCTGCCTTCCTATACTTCATTCTCACCTCTGTTGCAGCACAAAGACACCCACTACAATAAAAGATGCTTCCTCGATAAAAGATGCTTGATGCCAGTTTTTTGGGTTGTCCTTTGAAGCCCTGGTAGTGCAGTGACTCAAGCAGCTTGGCTGCGAAGTGGAAGAACAGCAGTTCGAACACACTGCCAGATGGGGCCGTCTGCCCAGGAAACCCGACCAGACAGTTCTACTCTCTCCTTTAGAGTCGCTCTGAGTTGAAATTGACTGACAACAGGTTTAGGTGGGTTTTTGGGTTTTTGGGGTTTTTTGGGTTTTTTTTGGTTTTCCACAGATCCTTCCTGTTCTCCAAGCAGATCTCCCAAGGGCTGATGACACTTTTGCATATCCACTGCACCAGCCAGAAGAAAGAGAGAGCAGTTTCTAACCATTAACATGAGCTATAAAAAATACACCCATATCAGCCCTGTGCAGGAGGCAGAGACAGCCCCAGTGACAGAGCCTCAAAGCAGTTGGAATCCTCGTGCTTCTTCATCTCCCAAAGAGTCTGCAGTCCACCAGCAAGGTCCCTTCGCAGCGGGTGGACTCAGTTGACCAGTCAAGGATGGAAACAGAAACTTCATAACCTTGACATCTAAAATAGCCTCTGGAAAGAGCACACATTAGCCAGGACAGCTTTGGGACAGCTTTGTCTCTTCGTCTCACAGGAAAACACTTATCCGGGCCCTTTTGTGCAGCTGTAAGGAAAAGAAATGAACCAATACTTGAAACAGCAGCTGGCTGGCCTGCTTGGTGGTCTTCTCCTGAGACCATACACAACGTCAGGCACAGAGATACACACGTGTGCCCAGAGATCACTAGTGGCCAGAGGTAGTGAGAGGGAGATCCATTAGCAGGGACGGAAAACATGCTTGAGATGAGAATATCGAATATCGTTGTGGGGCCATAACTAAGTCATGTGAGACACGGTGAGTGTAGAGGACGATTTGTGGCATACTTGGGGATTGAAAAAGATGCTAATGGATGCGGCCAAAAAGTGACCACTTTTACAGCCTAGGGTGAGGAGTTTCTACTTGAGCCAAGCAATCACTGAGATCCTAAGGACGTCGGAGCCAGAGAGGAAAGTGCTGAAAGGGAAAGCGAAGGCCGGAGGAAGAGTCTTATCTGAAGGAGGTGCGGCTCTCTGCTATAGTAAAGAGGGCTCGCAGAGGTGAAATCCCAGAGGCAGAGGCTGTGCCCGACTCCAGAGGGTGGGTTGAGTGGGGCAGCCTGCAGGGCTCTGCTTCAGTGTTGTGACTAATGTCCTCGCCTCTCTTGCCAATGAGTTGGTTCCCACTCCCAGCGACCCTCAGAATAGAGCTGCTCCCTAGGGTTTCTGAGACTGTGTGTCTTCATGGGAGCTGACAACCTCATCGCTCTCCTGCAGAGTGCTTGGGGGCATTGAACCACCAACCTCAGTGCCAGTAGGGCTCCTTGTGGATAAAGTAATTGGTGGGAAAGTGGATCCGGATCCCAAACTGTAACATTCTGCATTATGATCCAGCCCTTCTGACTTCCCCTCATCTGTTGACCTCTTTGCATAGGAATCGGTTTTGAAACCATCATAAAGGCTTTTTCTTAAAATTCCCTTCTCTTTTTTCCCCTTCTCAGATCAGGAGGCTTGGGCGTCTAGTTTCTGGCTTACGCCTGAATGGGCTGTGAGGCCTGGCGTTAGTCCTCTCAGGGCTAGAATAAGAACTTGAGACTTCCAGGGGCCTGCAAGGAGCCTGGTTTCCCCCTCGCTGCTCCTGTGGCTGTTGGCTGCTGTAGAGGCAAGCCCCAGCTCCTAGCCAGGCCACGGACAGTGAAAAGAAACGCTCTCTCTCCTGGGTCATCGCCACGGGCCGTGGCAGATCAGATCCTTGTGCTCTGAAGGGTTCTCCTTGACCGATTGGTTAAAGGTTACCCAGCTTTCTCTCTAGTCCTTCTTAGTCTGGAAGCTCTGCTGAGGCCTATCTGTTCTCATAGCAACACACACGCCTACACGAACAGGTGTACGTAGTTGTGTTTGTTTGAAGTGCATTGCCCAGAAATGAAGCTCAGGTCTCCTGCATAGAAGACAAGAATTCTACCATTGACCCCCGCCCCCCACTGCTCCCTGCTCCTGCCCTGTAGGTACTCACAAATTAAAGCCGTCTTCAACCACACCAAAGGGACAAAGTTGTCCTGCCAACTCTGATGTTTTTCCCACGATGGTTACTCTGCCGCTTTTAAACAGTCAGCACTCGAAGGTCTGTTTGCTCCGTGTATAGTTCCCCTGCTCAACCCAAGCATATGTTCAGTTTGATTTTCGAATAATCCAGCAGTGGTCAGTTCTTTAAGTTTCTGTTCTTTCATAACCTCAGAGATCTACCCTCTATCTACCTTTAGTCCCGTCTTCTCTTTGCCTGCTGGTATTTTACAAATAGGAATGGGCAAAACCCTCTGACTCTTTCTATAGCCCTCGCCTCACATGTCTCCTAAAAGCGAGCTCTACACCTCAGTGAGTATCTAGCATTTGTCCGCGTCAAATGAAAGGGTAATCCTGTCCTTCCTATGGCTCTTAAGCCTTACAAAGGATATCTGTCTATCAGGAAATAGCAGCCGCAGCAGCAACAAAACCTTCCAACTTATTGGTGAAAGCATTTTGAAATAAAAGTCAAACCATTTGGAAGGGCATAACATTCCATGACTGATGTTTCTCTCTCACGACCATCGAGTAAATTCCAACTCACAGGAACCCTGTCGGGCAGGGTAGAACTCTCCTGTGGGTTCCTAAACTAGCTCTGTACGGGAGTAGACAGACCGCCTCGTCTTTCTCCCGCAGAGCAGCTGCTGGTTCCCAACTGCTGACTTTGCAGTTAGCAGCCCAATGCATAACCACTGTGCCGCCAGGACCCTCATGGTGGATAGGCAATACCCAGGTTACATTTCTATCACAAGTAAGTTGGGGTATAGTCCTGGAAACTTCCCTGCAGTCCTGGATGCCTGAGCTTTCCCATTCCCTCAATCATTCATTCTCTCACTCGTTTGCAAGTCAGCCTACCTCTAATACTATGTAATAAGGTAAGTCTACTTCTGATGGTTATAAGACTTCTTGTGAGCAGATTTCCCATCTCCATCTTGCCACCTGTGAAGCCCCTGCCTTTTGACCTTGTACCCTCTGTCCTGGTACCCATGCATCCTCTGAGAAGGATGCAGCCGAAGCAGGGTCTCTAGTCAGCATGGCTGTGGCTCTCCTTTCAGATGGGAGCTGCTCATGATTTGCTGGAGGGTTTACATAACAGATGTGACAAGATAGACAAGCGAGCACACTCCCGGAGCCCACAGCATGTGAGCCGGCACACACACACTTGCCAGTTCCAATCCCCAGGAGGGAGTGCTGCTGGGGTGATGGAGGGAGTGTGCTCTGTGGGGCGAGTGCTGCTCCCAAGCCCTGCTAATGCCTTTGTGTGGCCATGCTGTATTTTCAGCTTGTCATCATGGCGGGGACAGTGCTGCTGGCCTACTACTTCGAATGCACCAACACATTTCAGGTGCATATCCAAGGATTCTTCTGTCAGGATGGAGACTTAATGAAACCTTACCCGGGGACCGAGGAAGAAAGCTTTATCACCCCCCTGGTGCTCTACTGTGTGCTGGCTGCCACCCCAACTGCTATCGTAAGTACCGAAATCCACTTCCTTTGCTGTTGTCAGACCCCAGAGAGTATCTCCTGTCTGCCTTGTCCTCTCTTCTTGGGCATTCAACAACAGTCTTGTCGGTGAGGTCTGGTTTCAGCCACAACAGAACGAGGGGCGTGGAAAGTCTCTTTAAAAGATGTCTTGTCTTTTGTCAGTGGGTTTTGCTTGTGGGTAATTGAATGAAAAGTATTCTCCGAAAAAGCCTGAGTGAATGTTATGAATCAACAGTCATGATTAGCTAGAGTGTTAGGAACACCTACTGTGGTTCTTGACGAACGAAAATGCTGTGGGACGTGGATCTTCCCAAGAGGCTCTGGATGCACATGCTGCCGTGGATCCCAACACTAGGATAATCTGAACAAAGCGGAATAGAATGCCCGGGCTTGCGTGTCCTGTTGTTCTGATTCGGCTTCCAGAGAGACCAGAGAGGAGAGAGATCACTTGTCCCCAAGTTTGCTGTGACTCCTTCTGGATGCCTCTGCCTCTCTTTGCTTTATATTCCACTCAATTAAGCAACAGCTTTGCCTGCATTTATTTCATTTTCTCTCTCATGAGGCAAAAAAAATCAGCCAGCTAGCCCTCTAGGGAGAGTGCATCAAGAGCAGAAACCTTCAGATCTGTGTCATCTGGGAAAGTGATTTAACGCTTCACCATTTTAATTTTTCTTGAAGAAATGCTAATTTGTGGGAGACTTAAGGTGAGTGTTTCTGGGTCCAAATGCACTGCAGGTCAGATGAGTTTGGATGTATCCCAGCTCTCCTCCACCCTTTCTCTTCCAATAGCTTCTTTCCCCAACTCTCTCTCCTCACCTACCTGCCTTCTGCCCACCTTGTTTTGGGGGCAGTAAGAGCAATACTGACTGACATTCTGAGGAATAGACTGAATCCTCAGATTTCAGGCAAATGTGTTCTATGTAAACATTTTGTTCATTTTAAGAAGAAAAATGGCATTGAATTCTGACGGGAAATAACATGGCTAATAGAGGGAGTACTCTGTGTTTGTTTAACTATCGATTCTTGGGGACTCAACAAGCCTTGCCCCTAAATGACAAAACAGTGTTGTAGGAGTTAAGGTCAACATTTGGTCAACAGCAATAGGGTTTCAGAGAGTGGTTAAAAATGTAAGCTTTGCAGCCTGACATAAAGCGGTTCAAGTCCTGGCTGTTTGACTACTGTTTCATGCATATAAAACTGGAGGATAATATGATTTCCAATTTCATCACAAATTTGAGATGGTTCCTATGAACACCTCAGCCCTGTGCTTAGCATGTATTAAGTAAGCAGGAGTAACAACCTGGAGAATCAAACGTCTTAGCTGGAAGCATGGTCTTCACCCTCTTGAGGATCACAGGCCAACATCCTCAGTCTGAAGAGAATGCCATCATACCAAGCACCCCTAAAGACCACATCTACCCAGCACTCAAGTGATGGGAGGTGTCTTCTCCCCCAGGGCAAGGTGAATTCGGTATGTCTTACTCAAATTTCCCAGCTTCCTAGGGAGGAAGAAAGAACATAAAAGACAGCCTTCTTCTTTCAAACAGCCACACACTTCATTCTCCAGAGAAGACCGAGGGGCCCGGTTGGGTTCTGTTTGGCATGGCTCACTGGTGACTCTGCCTGGAGAAATAGAGCTTAGTCTAGAATCAGATCCTGGCTTCTTCCTGTCTCAGGGGCATGCCATTAGTCTGTGCAGTCAAACATGCAAGGAAACATCATTGCCTCTGTCGCCCATAATTACTGTGCAAAATTACAGGGATTGTTTTTCCTTTTCAAAGAAATTCAGGAGAGCAAGGGAAAATGATGTTTTTAATTATGAGCAAAAATTAATGAAGAAGAAAAAGTAGAATGGATAGATAAATAAAATCAGCAGCCAATTCACTGCAAAGTAAAATGGGCAAGCTTCTGTCTGGTTTAACATAAGGAAAATAATTTAAATAAAGGAAATTAAGAAAAATGTATAAGCAAGTATACATAAACCTTTAAAGGTCTACACTTTAAATTGTATGTCTAATTCTATGACAGTAAATGCCCTTAACAACAACAAATGCAAAAATAATAATATTGATAATATTCTTTGAAAAAAGAACCTATCCACAATGCCTTAAGAAGATATAGAAAATCTGAGTATATAGTTTTAAGTGTATGTAAAGTTTATCTCATCTAAGGTAATACTGTATCTAAGTACAGTATCTAAGGTAATACTGGCGAGATACAGCATTATAGAGCAAGTTGCTTCACACTTTAAATTAGGAAATACTGTCACCAGGAAGACAGATGAGCCCTCAAAATACGTGGAGAACAATATATGAAACTACAATCAAGATCTTTTAAAAATAAAAAAAGAAAGCCCTTTTAATTTACTTATATTTTCCAGTCCTTGCCTGCTTTATCTACACAGCAGCCCAGGGAAACAGAAAAAGCATCATCCCAGAAAACTCAGGCCAAGGGTTTCATCCTCTGCTGCCATCTTTGAGCTGAGAACACTGAGACTCAAAGGTCCAGTGATTACCAGTGGTCCCAATTAGTCCCGTGCATGATTACACAGATGGCCACCCATTGGATTCCACTTGGTTTCCCTTCCAAGTGAAGGCCCTTGGTAGGAACCAGCACTGATTACAGCTGACAAGTTAATGATAGAGGCGGGGTGGTCTTGGAACCCCGCTAATGGTGCCTGGTCTTCTTCCAAGACTTGGAAGTCAGTCAGGAGCAGCAGAGGACCGAACCCAGGAACCTCCTGCTGCTCAGGGACGTTTCTTGGGAGCAGGGAGCTGAGTTGCTTCCCTCTGCCCCATCCCAGTCGAAGATCTCCTAAGAGCTGCCTTTGTTTGGCCACCTTGTGAGAGCGCCTGGTTGTCTAACTCAGCACACCCGCAGCTGCTGAGATTCCTGCAGCATTCTCCTCGCGTTGTGGTCATCCTTTCTCAGGTTCGCTGTGTGTCCCACTGCCCTCAGCATTTGTCTGACCTCTGGTAAGTCATGTTCCTCTACCGACTTCATCCTTTTCAAATAAACAGAAGGGTTTGGGCTGAATGATCTCCAGGATCCTTTCCTCATCGGATTCTCTGACCAAGGGGGGGCAGAGAACAGCATTCTGGTTGGAAAGGTCCGCATGTCAGATTCCCAGCCCCCCAGGTCCCTAGTTTCTCGCTCGGGCTCAGTTTTGCCCTTTGTGCCTGGTCAGGTGTTTCACAGAACTCCACGCTCCTTCATTCCTCCTCCACACTGTTTCCTGTTCCTTCTGGAATAGAAAGAAGGAAGGACTCCTCCTGGGTGACGAAGCACTAAGGGATGGCAAATTGGGAAAAGCCGCTCCATCCTAAGTGTTCTGGTCTCCTCGGATCCATTAACCGAGGGAAAAGCCTGGTACCCCGCCACGCTGTGGGTGTCTGTGGATGGGCCTTCACACGGCCGTTCACCCACCAGAAAAGCACAAGAGAAGAGACTCGGTCCAGGGTTAGGCCTGTCGTTTCCTATTTCTCCTTTTGTGCTTTGCTGTCAGAAAAGATCAGTGTCATGGGCCACTGCTGTCCCAGATCTTTAGGAAAGGCTGGCACAGAGGGGATTGATTGTCTCCCGAACTGACGTTTTTGTTAAGGGCTCCAAACAGATCTGCAGGGAGCCTTCCTGTCATCCTGGAAACCTCAGCCAACTCTGGCCTGGGGGTCTCCGGAATAGACTCATACTCCGAGAGGGTCTCTCTGATAAGAGGATTTACACCCAGAGAATCTGATTTGCCCTCAGTGTCCCTCAGCTCCAGTACCAGAGGGAGGAGAACATTGTTGTTAAACCTTTTCTTTGGCCTCTCAACAAAGTGGCTGGGGAGTATTTAATATCAATGTGGAAGCAGCAAGCGAGGTGACTCCTAGCCTGAGAGTGAGCGCAAGGATTTGTCGTTTGCACGCAAGTATGCATGCGTGTATCTGCACCACCTGTTCCGGATTTCCTAGAAAAGGAAGACACACACACAACACGACAGCAAGGCTCGATTTAGAGGAAATTATGACTCTCTGTTCGGGGATTTCTGAGCTTTGCGCCGTAATAGTGAGGGTAAAAGCCCAATGTGCCATGTGGCTCAGAGGGGGCTCTCCGAGGATCCCAGGGCTGTGGGCTTTGTGCCAAGAAGGTATCAGAGGACGCTGCACTTCCTCACAATCTCCCTCTTCCAGGCTCTGAACAACCACATATATTGAAGTGGTTTTTACAATTCATTTCTTTTTTCCCTTTTTATACTTTCACATGACTTCCATTTTTATAAATAAAGTTGACCATGACCACATTTTCTTTATTGCTAATGTACTCTGTCCTTATCATTTGCATTTTTTTCTGGGGAAAATGTATAGCTACCTCCATGAAATATTGTAGATTGACAAAAAAAATCCATCTCCTCCTTTTCTGCCCACACGGCCAGTGAATTTTTCTTATATTTCCTATAGCGATAACATTTGGAAAGATGTTCTTATGTCTGTCAAGATGTCCTGTCTAATAATTGCTGATGTTAAAGTTAAGGAGCCCTGATCATCTGTTTCTTATAAGTCTGATTGTTTGCCTAAAAATATGTGATGGTCAATTTCCTTGGGGGGGTTCACCAGATTTACTAATTTTTTATAGAAATTAGTTTTTTAGCTAATTCGTTTTAAATGTCCACTTCTCTTGTACTTATTATCTAGAGGGAAAGGAGGATGTAGGAGAAAACTAGCTCTGGAAATGTAGATGATCCACTGGTGTTACATTTTATATAAAGTATCAACTAAAGACCACCCTCTCAGCAGCTAGACACTGTCTTTAGAGTAGGACCCCTGGGAAGACTCTAATACACAAAATTCTTATCCCAGTTATTAGCTAAGTGATTGTCAAAATACCATCATCCAAATGGTTCAATTCACCGAAGCCTGGGAACTGCCTGTAACTTAGCGTAGCCACTCACACCAAGGTGTAATAAAGTGGAAGCACCTAGACCAGGAGGTAACGTCAAGATAACTG